AATGCAGTTCGGTTGTCAGCAGCCGTTCTTTTGGGGGAGCGTTGCGTGACATCCAAAAAAACGGCTGCGAGGGAGACTATGCGTGCATGGGCAAAACTATGCATGGGCTGGAAATGTACTTAATGTTTTCTTACAATGAATTTTCGAAACACTTTCTAGGGCCTCCTCTCAGCATCATGTCAATCGCATTAGGCGAAAGGCAAACATTACAGAAACGAGGCCATTGAAGTGTTATTATGGCCAACAAAAACTCCGATGCGCTTAAAATGCTTCTTGTTTAAAAAATCTTAGCCTATAAAACGGATAAATCAAACTTTGGATCGTTCCATGCGGCTATTTTGTTTCTCTGCTTTCTGACCATGTTATTGCTCTGTTATCTAGTGTAATACATTCTGGCATATTTTGTGCGTCCCAATGCCCTAATATGGTAAAATGAGGTAATGGTGAAATAATAAATGTCCTTATTGTCTACTCTGTCGTTTTTGGATAACTGGGTCATGTTGACTTTTTTCAGGAAATTATTCAGAATGCAGATGATGCAAACGCCACAAAAGTGTCCTTTCTACTTGACTCACGTCAAGGCTTTTTTGGAGAGAACTCGCTTGTCGAACCCACTCTAGCTCAGTTCCAGGGCCCTGCTTTATATGCTCAGAACAATGCTCTGTTCAAGGAAACTGACTGGGAAAACTTGCAGAGACTGATGGATAGCAGTAAGAAGGATGACCCTTTAAAAGTTGGTCGATTTGGAATTGGCTTTAATTCTGTTTATCATATAACTGGTAAGTTTCTCTAAGTGTAATAAAAAGTCATTGCGATGTTGAAGACTCAAAAACGGAAATTCTTGCCGATAAATTTTTCCATGTGAGGAGAAAAAAAAAAATAAAACTATAGCATGTTATGCTTTGAAATCATACGTTCAACTTTGCACTGCAGCCACAACAAGCACGGCATCCTTAAAATGCACATGTTGAAACTGAATGGTACTCGCACTTAACAAAAAGACAATTTTACGTACTTAAATGGGTAACTTTATATTATATTATTTAGATCTTCCCAGCATCGTGAGTGGGGATTCTATTGTATTTCTTGACCCTCACGAAACACACTTCGGTAGAGGTGAAACGGGACGGCGATTTTCCCTGGAGTATGAACTGCTTGAAATTCACGAAGACCAGTTCAAGCCGTTCGAGAATGTCTTGGGCTGCAAAATTTCGACTCAATTTTACAATGGAACTCTATTTCGTTTTCCGTTACGAAGTGCACCATCAGATTTATCCAAAAAGGTTTATAGTAAGGAAAAAGTTGGCAAATTATTTCAAGCCCTTAAAGACGAAGCTCCTGTCATCCTGCTCTTCTTGAAGAACATTGAAGAAATTGCTCTATTTGAAACTGATGAGAGAGACTTTCAGAAACATGTCTTTACAGTGCGATTGAGTGACAGCTGTCGGCAAGAAGTTCGTGGGAAGAAGAGAAAGTTTTTGAGTGATTTGATAAGGCTGAGCAATGAGTTAGTTGAAAACGTAAATCTTTCTCTAGATTTGCATGTCGTTGAAGTGACTGAAGGAGAAAGAGCGGTGGAAAATAGATGGCTTGTTTACCACCAAGTTGATGCTCGAAATCCAACACTCAAAACATTGTCCTTGGAGTTGGGTCACCTACCTTGGGTAGGTTGTGCCACACCAGTGAATGCAGCCAAATGTCTAGTTCCCTCATCTAGCACTGGACGAATATTCTGCTTTTTACCACTTCCACCAGACGCTGACTCCAAGACTGGTTTGCCAGTTCACGTGCATGGTTACTTTGGCCTCACAGACAATCGACGTGGTCTTAAATGGCCAGGCCCTGACTGTCAGGATGATCCAACAGCAGAATGGAATGTGTTGCTGGTGGAGCATGTTGCAAGTACGGCCTATGCCAACTTGTTGCTCCGTCTTCAGGAATCATGTGACTCTTCGTTTGGAGCAGATTTGGTATACAAGTCCTGGCCAAACATTCAGGAAGTTGAGAAACACTGGAGGTGTATGCTGAAGCCCATGTTCTCGATTTTACTCAAAGAAAACGTCCTCTGGACCACTGCAAATCATGGTCAGTGGAAAAACCTTAGTGACGCCTACCTGGACAGAATAAAAAGCCAATTTCAGAATGCAACCAATGAAACGAGAGAAGTAGTTCTAGAAACATTGACGCACGCAAATGAGGCTGTTGCAATCGTCCCGAACCATGTCATGATTGCCATTGATAATTACGGGCCAGTACCTACGAAGAGCATCACCCCCACATTCTTAAGAGCACTGCTGAAAGAGAAGAGGAAGGGGATTTTGTAAGATGTACCAAAGAAGAAGATGCTTTTACTACTTGAATTTGTTCTAGAGGACAAGAACCTAAACGACATGCATGGTGTTCCCCTCCTGCCCCTCGCAAATGGAGGTTTTGTTGATTTCCGCTCACTCCAGTACAACCGGGAACCAGACGCTGCTGTGTATGTTTCTTCAACGAGTACTCCCCGTTCCATTTTCCACAACATGGACAATAAGTTCCTCGACGACAAAGTTCAAACTCCAGGCATTACATATTTGTCGAAGCTTGCCTCTGACGCTAATAGTCTCCACACAATCCAACCAGTGCAACTCGTCAGGTTAAACGAAGCCATTGCAGTCAAAGTCCTGAGAGAGATGCTTCCACCGGAATGGTGCGGAGGAAATCATACAGTACCTTGGTATCCAGGAAAAAAGGGGCATCCACCGGAGCACTGGTTGGAGTCAGTATGGATTTGGATTAAGAGAATGTTCCCCACTGATCTCTCCTTGCTCGAAAACCTTCCACTCATCCCCCACACATGTGCTGGAAACCAAAGCTTAGTGAAGCTGAGTTTATCAAGCGTGGTCATTCTAAGACATCAGCACCAGAGTATTTCTTTACCACCGCTTATCGCGTCTTTGCTAGGCAAAATTGGCTGCATTGTTCTGGAAAATCTCCCGTGGTACATTTATCACAACACCCTACATAAATACGTTGCCACACCTGATCCCCGTGGCGTCCTAAAGATCTTTTGCACGTTAGGTCAAAGCAGATGTGCTTCAGCTATTCCTCTTTGTTCACCAGATGAAAAACGTGCGCTACGAAGTTTCCTCTCTTCTGCGTACTTCAATGATGATGAAAAAAGCCTCTTGTACAACCTTCCTATTTTCGATGCAGCAGATGGAAACGCCTTCATTTCCATTAGAAATGGATTTCAAGTTCATGAGGTTTCACCATATGGCTTCGAAGTTCCACGATCTTTGCCAATACCAAGAGCTTCCTCAGTTGTTGCCTTGAGAGATAGCGATTCTTATACCTTAATTCAAAGACTCGGAATCTCACCGATGACAAAAACAACCTTCCTAAAGAACATTGTCTTTACTGGTATACAGAGCAATTTCTATAGTCACCAACAGATCTCTACTCTGATGAGCTGGATACTCAGCCAGTACTCCATTTTTTGCGAAGAAGACAGCTCATTTCATGCATCTCTTCAACAACTACCCTTTGTCATCACCAGGACCAACAAGCTAGTTACTCCTTTTCGCGTTTTAGATCCACACCAACCCATTTTGGAACAACTTTTTGAGAATGAAAACGACAAATTTCCAAATGGAGATTTTGTGAAAGACGAAATCCTTCCACTTCTTCGGCAACTTGGAATGAGGAGTATTCCAAATAAAGAGGACATTCTACAGGTTGCTAAAACAGTAGATAGTGTCCACAGCGACGTGGGATCTCGTAGAGCATTAGCCCTCTTAGAGTTCCTTGACAAAAACCCACCTGACAAGTCCTTGGGTCGAGCCCTAATGAACGAGAGATGGGTCCCAAGAAAGCAAAGTCGTCCGTCCACCTATCCAAGTGCGATGCCTTGGTTTTTAGGAACAAAGAATTTCTACAAACCATCTGAAATGTTCAGCCAATCGAAAGCTACTCTTGTGGGGGTGTTAGCGCCAATAGTCCCTAAACCTTGTTCCAAAGCATTAGAGGATGTTTTTGATTGGAACAAATCACCACCTGTCCACCACCTTTTAGAGCAGTTGCGTGCTGCTTGTTCTGTACAATTAAATGACGGAAATGAAAGTGTTCTGTATCATTTTCAAGCGATGGTAAAGCAGATCTATGAAGAAGCATCAACCAAAGCTAACTTTCTCCTCGCTGTAAGTCAGGAGAACAATTTTCCAGAATGGATTTGGCATGGCAATGGATTTACCTCACCGTCTAAGATAGCATTCACATCTTGCTGCGGAATCGACTTGAAGCCTTACCTTCATATAGTTCCACCTGAATTTCGACACCTCAGTCATTTTTTCCGGCAGTGCGGTGTTCGTGACACATTTCAAGATTCCGATTTGTTGCATCTCTTGATAATGATAAAGGATAAACATGACACTAGAAGTGAATACCTTAAAGATGTAGAAGACGATCGAAAACTGTCACATGAAATTCTTCACTGGATAATTAGAGATGGAAAGCAACTCGATCCAGAACTTCGAGAAAGTCTTCTGGTGCCGATTCACACCAGGGATAATACCTTAAAGTTGGTTCCATGTTCGGAGTGCACCTTTTGTGACGCGGATTGGTTGAGAAAGGGAGGCTCTGAACTTCTTATCGAGAGTGAATTTCCGATGATCCACGAGTCTATATCTTCCACAACCGCTACCCTTCTGGGTGTCCCACCCATCAGCACCCGTGTCACTTCTGCGGAGGCGTTAGGTATCGAGCAAACAGGTCCATATGAGCCAATTACCACGAGGCTGAAGAATATTCTGAACGAGTACAAAGCAGGGGTTGGTGTTTTTAAGGAATTACTGCAGAATGGAGATGATGCTGGTGCTACAGAAGTTCAGTTCATTCTTGACTGGCGCAATCACCCAAACCAGAGGCTTTTGTCACCTGGCATGGAAGAATGTCAAGGTCCCGCCCTGTTAGCATACAACAATGCAACCTTTACAGATGATGATCTGAAGAACATCTCGAGACTAGCAGGTGCTACCAAAGAGGAAGATCTTGAAAAGATTGGTCGCTTTGGTCTTGGTTTCAGCTCAGTTTACCACTTCACTGATGTTCCAAATTTTATTACCAGAAGTTATGCTGTGTTTTTTGATCCAGAAACAACACACCTTGGACTCCACATAAAAGATGCCTCAAAGCCTGGAATAAAGATAGATCTGGCGGTAAATCAGAACAGTTTAACCTGTTTTCCTGACCAGTTTGCGCCTTATAATGGGCTTTTTGGCTGTGAAACTGCTCCACCCAGTGATCATGACAAGTTCTACTTTCAGGGAACTCTTTTCAGATTTCCATTCCGAACTAAGCGAGGGAAAATTAGTGATAAAATCTTCACTAAGCAGGAAATACGGTCCTTTATGTTTTCTTTCCAAGAATCATCGCCTACCCTTCTATTGTTCTCACAGAACGTTAAAAAGGTGTCATTCTTTGAAGTACATGAAAATGCGACTAATTCTAAAGACTCACAGCTCTTGTTTGAAATCTGCATAAAACCTCAAACAGAATGTATACCATTTAAGAATTATGTAACGGAAAGTACCTTCCTTAAGTCATGCGTAGCATGGACAAAACAGTCCACTAGTGAGTTCAAACCTGTTGACAGATATCCATCTCCCAAACTAACGGAGCTCATCTCTGTGTGTTCCACCATCTGTCATAAGAATGGGCAGAAGCATCAAGAAACCCAATCCTGGCTTGTGACATCCTGTCTCGGTATTGAAAATTCCTTCCGACTTGCAACAAGTGAGGAGGGTAAGAAGAAGGGATTCTTATCTGCCTCAGGAGTTGCAGCAAAAATGTCTACCAAAGGCGATGGCTTGGAAAAAGGAGAGGCAGTGCCTGGAGAAGTATTTTGTGTCCTTCCCCTAGGCATTCCAACAGGGCTTCCAGTACATGTCAATGGCTACTTTTCAGTCACGTCAAACCGTCGAGGAATCTGGGATAGTACAACTACCGATGTTGGTCCTGAACCTATAGAAGTGCGGTGGAATCAAAGCCTCATGGAGGATGCACTGACTCAGGCCTATGTTCATCTCTTGGATGATATGATTGTCATGAAAACACAAGGAAAAATCTCGTCTTACGATGTTTTCTCGCTCTGGCCAAACCCAGACAAACTTCAATCATTTGAATGGGAACCTCTCATAAGAAGCTTTTATCGTAGAATCGCAAGCTGTGACCTACCCTTAGTATGCACAGGAGGGAAATGGCTCCCAGTGACTCAATGCATTTATCAAGACCTCAAGTTACGGGAGCTTGTGAATAGTGAGATAGTCCTTGAAAAGTTTGATTACAAAATAGTGCAACTTCCTGACTTTGCAAGGAAAGGATTCTGGCAGGCTGGATGTATGGATGTTATCGATAAACGTACAATGACACAAGAAAAGTTTCTCCAAGAAGTTTTTTTCCCGAATATCACGATGATACCTAAAGAGCTACGCGATCCCATTGTGTGTCACCTCATAGATGAATGCCTTCAGGGAAATGCTAGCAATCAGTGCAATCACCTTCTCAATATATATGAATCTTTGCTTACAAACAATCGTTGTATTCCTTGTGGGCCTGATACGGGGGACTTAGCTTCTCCCAAGGAACTTGTATCCCCAAAAGGAGTGGTTGCAACTCTGTTCTCAGCAGAAGATAGGAAATTCCCTGTTGGGTCATGTTATCTAACTAGGGAACGTCTCTTCATGCTTCAAAACTTGGGAATGTTATCAGATATTCTTGACTGGGAAACCCTGATTGAGCGAGGTAACTCTGTGTCAGTGCTCTGTAAAAGAGCCGAACAAGATGCTAAGAAGAGATCAGCCCTTCTTATAGATTATATCAATGTCCATCTCCAGAAAATGGACCCCCCTTCAGAATTGATCAGGGAGGAGTTAATGGCAACCAGTATGTTTCCCACTCTTGCTAAGCCAGCAAACTATGTTATGCCATGGAGAGGTACTGGCAATTGGAACAGTGTTATGCTTCCAGCAAAAGAAATGTACGACGAAAGGTATAAGTTTGTCGCAGGGTCCTCTCGGCCAATCCTTGATGAAAGTGAGAGTTGTGGCTGCGGTAAGTTAAGCGAAAAAACACGCGATATTTTTGGGTTCAGCTCCCGTAAACCATCGGCTCAAGAGGTTCTTGAGCAGCTGGAGCATACAGTTCAAGCAATAGTCCAATCGCCCGATGCGATTGAAAGTTTGGAAGAAGTCTTCCCTTGCCTATACGAGTACTTTCAAGAACTTATTTTGGAACCAGATGGCAAGCGAATTATATGTGCTTTGCAAGAAAAGGAGTGGATACTGGTTCATGGAAACTGTCTGTCGGCCTCTCGGCTGGCATTTACGTGGAAACGATTTGGTGAACCTTATCTGAACGAAGTGCCGCAGAATCTTGCCTCCAAGTATCGAAGCCTATTTCAAGCGACAGGTGTTAAAGAGCATTTCACCACCGAAGAAGTCATTTCTGCACTATACGAGCTCGATGAGGAGAAACGAGGAAAACGCCTATCTACGAAAGAGTTCAAAGTCTCAAAATCTTTACTCGAAGAAATATCGGAAGCGTCAGATAAATCATTTGAAAAGGAAAGAGGGAAGATTCCTTTGCCAGATCATAATCTGTTTTTACAGCCCGCTGAGAAATTAGCCATTAATGATGCGCCATGGGTGGTTGCTAAAAGTGGTATCGACTATGTTCACAAGGACCTGTCAATTGACCTTGCACACAGGCTTGGAGCAATCGACATTCGAACAAAGAAACTAGACAGAATATCTCGTGCAATAGGACGTGAATTTGGACAGCGAGAGGATCTCACTGACCGCTTAAAGGGCATTTTGAAAGCATACCCATGCGACGTTGGAGTCCTTAAGGAGCTTGTTCAGAATGCTGATGATGCAGGAGCCACCGAGATACACTTCATTGTTGACCCTCGTAACCATCCTACAAACCAGCTCTTAAGTAACAACTGGAAGGAACTGCAAGGTCCTGCCCTGTGCGTTTACAATAACCGACCGTTTTCCGAAAAGGATTTGGAAGGGATACAGAGATTGGGCATTGGAAGCAAAGCAGACGATCCTTCAAAGACAGGACAGTATGGTATTGGCTTTAACGCTGTTTACCACTTAACAGACTGTCCAAGCTTCATTTCGAATGAAGACACGCTTTGCATTCTTGACCCGCACTGTCGTTACGCTCCTGGAGCAAGCAAGGAGAATCCTGGACGTCTCATCGGACCAATTGGTGAAGAAGAACGATCCGACTACCGAGATGTATTTCCATGCTATCTGGAAAACATGTTTGATTTGAAATCCGCAACTATGTTCCGTTTTCCTCTCCGAAGAGGAAGCACGTCGTCTATATCTCAAAATTGTGTTTCCTACGCGGAAATGATGACATTTATGAACCTGTTGGCGTATGAAGCTAAAGAAATCCTTTTGTTTTTGAACTACGTTAAGACCATAACTCTGTCTGAAATCAAAGGGGACCAGCTGAAAGAAATTTACTCGGTGTCGGCACAACTAACACAACACGATGAAGCACAACGCTTGTGGCTTGCAAATCATATAAAGGCATCCAAGGATTTGGAGACGAACAAAATTGATTGGCTTGGAATTACATACCTTCTCCTTGTGCAGGAAAAAGGATTGAGACAGGAAAAATGGCTTATTCATCAGTGCATTGGTCTTCAGGCAAGTACAAGTGAAGAAGCTCCCAATGGTAGAAGCTATGGTCTCTTACCTCGTGGAGGAATAGCAGCAAAGGTTTCTGGGAAGAGTAACCCAGAGCACAAGGCCTTCTGCTTTTTGCCATTGCCAGTTAACACAGGGCTCCCGGTTCATGTAAATGGTCATTTCTATTTAGATTCTGCACGCCGGAATTTGTGGCAGGACGAAAAGGAAGAAGGATTCGGAAGCCAATGGAACCATTTCATCAAAACAAAGGTTTTATCCCAGGCCTACATCTCAGTGATGTTAGTAGCACGAGGACATTTACCAGGGTCGAAAGAAAGAGATGTCACTTGCTTCTCCACGGAATACAATCTTCACAAAGGAATGCAGTGGTATCATAATCTCTTTCCAAATTTAAAATCTGTACAAAGCCAGTGGAAAGTTCTGGGAGAGGCAGTATTCAAAACAATTTGTAATGAAGATGCAAAGTTGCTACCCTTGACCAAAAAAACGTCAGATGAAACAATGGAGGCCTCTCAAGTTTCTCAAGCTGCCGCAGTTGTCCAAGTCAATGAAAGCGATTTTAGAGAAGTTAGACGGTGCTTTTGGCTTCCTCCTTCCCAAGGCTTCTTTAACAATTTGACTCAAGGTAGTGAGTTCCAAATAGCTCTAGGGAAGATACTTTTGAGGGTTGGTTTCAAGCTTCTTTATTCCTCCGCTACGCTTTTCTGGAACTTCAAAGAGGCAGACACAAATGTAAGAGAGATCACACCTGAATTCGTCATTCAGTTTCTCAAGGAGAACCCGAATAGCATCGGTGACTTACCATGTCCCGTTGAAGAGACAACGCTTGGTTCTGTGAAGGGTGTTCTCCTCCTCCTCGGCTACTGCATGGAAGCCAAAAGATTTCCAGGGGAAATGCTTGGAACACCTTTGTTGCTGACTGAAGACAACGTTTTGAGGAGATTTAACACGGACAGCCAAGTATTTTTAAGCTTGTTTGCCGATTTGGTCCCAACTCAGTGTTCTCAATTCATCCACCACACACTAGTCACTACTTTACTTCGGTTCGAGGAAGGAATTTTCGCCCCCGATCAAAGTGTTCTCAGGAAATTTGACATCATGGCATTAGCATCGCTTCTGCCAAGTACCGCAAATGCCCCTTGGTGTGAAACAAGTGATCTGATACCATGGAATTTGAATGAACAGCCGTCTGAAAGCTGGATGCAGCGGTTATGGGAGTTCTTGCACAACACCCAGTTGAAGACTCCGAACACCTTTTCTCTAGATCCCTTACAAAATTGGCCCATCCTTCCAACCAAGTCCGGGAAGTTAGCACCACTTTCCAAAGGTAAAGTAATTCTTGACCTCACCCGTTCAGATTCATGGTCACCTGGCCAGGAACATGTTGCTGCTTTGTTAAGGAAACTGAACTGTCCAGAAGTTAATGTCGATCTCATAAGCGGTAACGGAAGGCGGAATGTATCAGATATACTGAAGGCTTACGTCTCTTACCCCAACTCATCGCAAGATACACTGAAAGTGCTAGATCACCTGATGAGGGAAGGCGACATTTCCAATATTCTATTTGATCACGAAAAAATCTGCATGTTGCAATTCTTTCAAGATGACTTAACAACTTTAAAGCAAGACCAAACATCTACTTTCATTGTGAAACGCTTGCCGTTTTTCAAGACATTTCATGGAGCATCTGTGAGCCTTGCAAATTTTAAATCAGTTTACGAAATCCCGGTGGGTTTACCAACTGATGAGTCGGAGGTTTGGATGACAGGATATAACTGTGTATTTTTTGCGCCAGAACCCAGGTTGAGCCGCTTGTACAAGGATCTTCTAGGTGTCGGTGATAAAACACATACAGACTGTTACATCAACTTCATTTTCCCAAAGTTTTCCCTTCTCCAAAAGAAAACTCGAATGCTTCACCTGGAATACGTCCGACGAATTTTACTAGCACCGAACTGCAACGAAGAGCAACAAGCAAGAATTCTTAAATCTCTCAGCACCTTGGCATTTATTCCAGACGCCAACGGGACGTTACAAACTGCCTCTTATTTTCACGATCCAGGCGTAAAAGTCTTCGCGGTAATGTTACCATGTGAAGCAAGGCCACCAGAGCCGTTTGACACTACAAAGTGGTTGGAGCTCCTTCGCAAAATCGGCTTAAAGCAGAAAATCAGCAAAGCTCTATTCCAAACCTTCGCCAATGAAGTAGCTTCGCAAGCGATACAGATGAGCAATTCAAGTTATCCTTCATTGGAAAAGAAGTCAAAGACACTTGTTGAGCACCTCTTAACAGACGACACTCTACATGATGCAAAGTTCCTTGTCGACCTCTCCACGATTAAATTTATAGCGTGTCCAAAGGCAAGTGGCGACCTAAGTCTCCTTTGCCGGCAGCATTTGGTACCTAATCGAGATGAAATTCCTCCATTTGGCCATTTCAAGCATTCAATTCCACACACACAAGAGGCACTTGCATGGACGACTGCGTCTCTTCTTTTTGACTGGGCTATTCCAAACCCCAGAATCCCACTGCTAAAAAACCTGCAAGTTTTTCAGAAGCCTTCTCTGCAACAAGTCATCGGTCATATTAGAAACCTTTCGCAGACTCTTTCAAGGCGTGCCGATCGAGAGCAACCAGAACATCAACGGCGACTTCTGAGCCAAATCATGACAGAAGTTTATAGATTTCTTACAGATACTGGTGGTTGTAACGGCACCGATTCTAATGAACCGTGTTCAGCCATGTGTGATACAATCTGCAACCAGCTTTCCGATATTCCCTGCGTTCTTGTAGAAGGTGGCCGTGTTTTCGTCCGAGGCAAACAGCTGGCGTTTCACCTTGATGAAGAACACCCGCCCTATCTGTACAAAGTTCCTAAAGAATATGGAATCTTTGAACACTTGTTCAAACGCCTTGGAGCTATGGAGAAAGCAACACCTACGCAGTTTGCCCAAGTTTTAAGTAATCTCAGAAACTCTTGTCAAGACAAACAGATGCACGCCAATGAATTAAGAGTTGTAAAAAAGGCTGTCTTTGGTCTATTTACTACCTTGCACGCTACAATTTGTCGAAAAGAGGATAGAAGGGAAAGCAACCCATTAGCTGAGGTCAACACCCTCCATCTTCCAAACAGCAAGCAAGAGCTCAGGCCATCCACGGAATTGGTCCTGTTTGATTGTCCTCAGTTCAAACATCGCCTGTCAGATTCTATGTTCGAGTTTCTTGATGACCTAACAAAATACAATTTAACAATGGAAAAGCCTGGTAAGCTTGTCGACCTTTTGCCAGACCACTTAAAGACAAAATCCTTGGCATCCATGGTGAGGGAAGAACTACAAGCCGAGTGCAGAGGAAAGAACTGCCGAGCCGACGTCGAAGGAAAATGTGGGGCTACAAATCACTTTCGTCACATATTGTATTCGCCAGATCTCGCAAATGGAATTGTACGAATACTGAAGTCTCAGTACGACAAAGCTAAATTGACAGAAGAGGTCTGCAACAAAGTTCGCAGTTTTCAAAAAGCACTAAGCATCAGTTGCATGGAAACTTTATCCACGGAGTTAGTCGATAATAAATCAAACACGGTCATTCCTAAAAGTCAGAGGCAAACGTACTCAGGTTGCTTTGTGGGACAGGACAACGGTAAAAAGCACATCTTCATCCAACATGGTGCGAAGTCTAGTGATACGAGGAGAAAGATATGCCATGAAATATACAGTCTGACCGGCTGCCTCCTCGAAGAAGAGAACTTATTACACTTGGCTGCCATCCTTGAATGTACGTCCCCGGCTGATATTTCTATCACACTGGATAATGCTGGAGTGTCGGATGATGCTGAAGCTACCCAAACACCAAGTTTGGAACCAATTCTTGGTTCTGAGGTCCCCAAAGAGTTTCACGAGCTTCTAGACCAGTATAATGATTTCTATTTTCGTCCAGGAGAGTTTGTTGCATATGAAAGAGAAGATTCGACCGATGAGGAACCAAAATACATTTATGCAAACATCGTCCGCCAGGTTAAAACGTCTACTTCTGCCAAAGTTAAAAAGGACAGAACAAAAAGAAAACAAAAAGGAGAGAGTAACCTACTTAGCAGATATCTCATAGACATCGGTCCTGAGAGGGAAGAGGTCGATGTTCTGGATTTGTACAAGTTTAGACGGCCGCGGAAGAGCGAGGAAGAGGAAGTAGACGAGAAAGAGTCTCTTTCTAAATCGATGGAGGTTGTGCCTTACGTAGGAGCTAGTGGGCAAAGTACTGGACAAGCAGGGGCGGAGACAGCTGGGCCCTCTCGAGATGCAAATGAGCCACTGAAGCCTCAGACGTTGGAACACGCCCTGAAAGAGGTGAAGAAAGCTCTTACCGAAATTTGGAAGTTTCCAGAAGATAAAAGAAAGAAAGCAATAAAGCGGCTATACCTCCGATGGCATCCAGACAAGAACATGGACATGCAAGACACTGCAAATGAAGTAATGAAGTTTATACAAAACGATGTCGACAGGTTATCAAAAGAAGGCGGTGCAAGACCACCACCGCCAGATTTTACGGACTTCTTCAAGCAATGGAATGAAAGAGCTCGACGAGAGCGCTCAAGCCACGAGAACTACCGCCGCCGCAACCCACGATTTCCAGGTTTCGCATCACACTCGAGAAGAACCTACACGGCACCCAATCCACGCGTAGCGAAGATATGGATGCGTCAAAGCAAAGAAGACCTGCGCTCAGTAAAACATCTCTTGTCTTCCCGAGATCCACTTTACTACCTTGTCTGCTTTCAGTGTCATCAAATTGCGGAGAAATCTCTCAAAGCAGCTCTTTACGCTCTATCAGGAGTCGCAGACTGGCAGCTGAACTCTCACGACTTGGTTCTATTGGCACGTGATCTTTCACGACTTCCTAGAGCTCCAGATGTGACAGCGCAAGTAGCCAGGCTGTCGAACTATTTCGAAGGCACTCGATATCCTAACAAGCACGAGCCAGCTAAAGTGCCTGCGGAGGTGTTCCAAGATTCTCAGGAAGTACAGGAATCGTTCAGACTGGCCACAGAAGTTTTGGAAGTACTAGAACAGTTTGTTGGAGCATAACACTGTTTATGACTCTCATTCAGACAGTATGACATTTCAAATACTGTTCAAAATGTTACACCTTTACTTTAGGCATTTGAAATCTTAGAAACAGTTAGAATAATTTAAGCTAGCTAACAGGAAGAACACTACTATCAAAGCTTTGTCGCATTGTACGACGTTAAATTTTGGCTAGATTGGACCAACGTTCCATAACATGATTCAAATATTCAATGAAGAGAGATTGGCGATTTATGAATAACACTTCTTTTTTCACTAACTTTGTAGTACCCTAGTCGTTTTGTATTACCAATCTTTTACCAGTAATATTTTTCTGTAGTGACAACAGGGGCATGGCCAGGATTTTTCAAAGGGAGAGGGGGTGAGGAGGGGAGATGACTCTGTGTCTAAGAGAGAATACTCACCAGATTTCCATGTCGACCTTCACGCCGTGTAGTACTTAATGTGGCGAAAGCGTCAAGATATCGTGATATCGTTCTCGCCACCTGATTATCGTAAGTTGTGGGCATATGCTTACCAATTAAAAGTCACGCGCACTCCAGAACCCACTCTAGCTACGCCGTTAAGTGGTTTGTAAGGCTTTGTTCATGGAAGTGTGTATTAGGTAACGAACGGCAGGCAAGTTTACAGTATTTTTTACAATTCTCGGTCATCCTTTTGTTATTGTAAGGAAGTGGTAGTGTTGATTACAGTAAAGAAAAAGTTTTTCTCTACCAATTTGAAGTGAACCGTTTTCATAAAACAAACACAAACAAAATTACCTCATAAGGTGACGTAGACTTTTCTAAGAGTTTTTAATATTTTGTAGTTTTCCGAAGTAATAGGAACACATGCGTATGTTATTGCCATAGCAGATAAACAGGATTCCTTGCCTTTATATTTTTCATGTCAAGGGAAAACGTTTTCAAGTCTATTTTAACGAGAGTTAGTCAAAAATATGAACATTAAACTCTCAAGAGCCTTAAAATTGATATTTTATAGTTAAGATTAATTAATAGAAATGTGTAAACTTCTACTATCCATTTAAATAGGATATGAATCTTGTATCAAGATTTGTTCCCTTGAAAAATTACCGCCTAGTATTCTGCTAGCACAGTGGCTTCCTTTCCTTTGAAAGTTATAAGTACTGTTTCCATGCCTCATCGTAAAACTCGTGAGTGTTTAGAGAATTATTCTATGGCTTCATTTTCTGGGAGTTGGACAGAGGAGAAGGCCTCATTTGGGTTAAAGCGTAGGTTGTCTCTCCAAACGTGTATAACTCCTTCCCAATTTTTTTCCGAGATTTGTCACTGACATTCGTTTTTGAGTAAAGAAAAAAAAAAATTCTACTGGAGCAAAATGGAATAAAGCAAAAGGAATTCTTCAGTGGAAACAGTAAGCTTCAATAAGTCCACAACCACAGGAATGAAAGTAAAACTATTTCCTTCATGCCACAATGAACAGTATCACACTTTGCCGAAAAAAATCCTTTCATTCTGATATTTGATCACCACTTCACTGCAAGGGATATCAAATGATTTTTAGGCTGCAAGGATAAAGCTGGTTGAAAGTAATTGGACTGAGTGGATTACCAAACTGTGACAAAAATCTGGCGAGAAATTTGTTTCTTGACAATGTAGACTTGATTAAGAGTAAAAGTTTGAAGCAAAGAGAAAATTTGAGCTTAATCATAGAGCATGATGTGGTTTATTTGGAATTGGATAGCATATGGTCAAGTGTTAATTAACACCAATTGAAACCCATGAGAAGACAAAGTGGTTCTGAGCACACAATACCCAAACCCAACATTAATTTGTTGTAAGAATTTTTCTACTGTGCACCATATTAAAAATCAGGGCAGGGTGGTACTTCTTTCACCTTAAAACCATAACCTTACTTCTATACACTCTGCAATGTTATTCTGAGAAAATTACAGGGAAACTCAGTTAAACATTTGTGATGGTTTAACTTTTTAAGCTACATTTTGAAGGTGCAACTTGTGTTTGGGTATTCCCTGAAAGCCTCATCTCATGTTGTTTGTGGCAAATCCCTGAGCAACTTTAGATAACCAATACCACCCCTCAATATTCCAAGCTCGTTTACAAAAGTAACACAGCTGCATAACAATCTATTTTTCTTTTGATAAAAATGACCTTGTAAAAGTAAACATAACTTCCCTATGATAGATTAAAGCTTGCCCTTTAAGGATGCAGTGTGGGTAAAATCTCCACAGATAGTAAGAGGATGGCACTCGTAGCTATAAGGGAGGCAAGCAAGGCATCTCTGTTCCACAACCAAGTGAACATTGGATCTGCACTGTTACGACTCCTGCTGGAGTTCCCACTGAAAAGAATGGTCTTCATTGTTTAATGCTACAACAACTGGTATTCAGGTGTTCCTATTATCTCCAGATATGCTACAGAGAACCATTGCTAAGCTAGTTTAAAGTATGTGAACCAAAACAAAGTCCAGAGGACAACACTGTCAAAGTATTCAAGTATATATTACTAAATCTCAGTCTTGAATACCGGTAAGTTCAACATCCAATTGCAGTTGTTCTCACTGTATGCTTAAAAAGTGTAGAATCAAATTATTTCCTAGACGTCATCATATGAACAGATCACATTTTGATAAAACCTCACAGGAAGAGCAAAGGAACAGGTAAAAAAAAAAAAAAACAAAAAAACAAAGAGCAAAATTAAAAAGGTATTTTATTTGTAAACAAAACATGATCAGTTGTTCCTTCTGCTACTTTGATGGGAAGTGATGTTAATAAATCTTGTGAAATACATGACCTGCCCAAAATGTTGATGGAAGCAAACGGATGTCTTTATGGAGTTTTCAGAATGGCAATATGTAATCAATACCTACATCTGATTGATAGAGATGGTTACTGATACATCCTCTTTTAAAAGAGGATTTTCTTTATACTTGGTTTGTCTGTGTATTTACTGCTTCTCCAGTTAACACAACAGTGTTATTAATTTCAACTTATGTAATGTTTTCTTTAGAGTGAATAAAAATAATGAATAGGAACATTTGGTTATTATTTACACCCTACAATAGGGATAGAACTCACAAGGAAATTGATCAGAGTTAAGAATTACTTTTTGACAATTAGCTCTACTGTGAATTATTTCAAACTGATTTCTAAAAAGGCCTCTCTTTCAGACCCACTTGTCGCACTGCATAAGCTTAAATATTTCTGCATAAGTATTTCTGCACTGCATCAGCTTAAGTATTTCTGAAAATGGAAAGTCTGCAACGAAGAGGTTGACTATGCAGACTGAAAAAGGGGTTGTTTGGTAAACACTAGGGTTAGTCAGAGTTTGTGCAGCAAACACCCTCCCTCGTTATAACAAAGAGAATGATTGAGTACTCCCACTTTCAACTCTAGAGGCAGGAAGAATTTTCTCTCATTCCAAGGGAATGAAGCTTTTCCCAACAGCACATCAGCATCCTCAGTTTTTTTTTATCTCTGCATCTTCCAACTGGTGTTGTTGACATCTCAGATTTCAACTATTTTGTCTCCTTGACAAAAGCTTCTGCAAACACTGGTAGGTTTCTGTAATTTTTCAGCAGCTCACTGTTGAAATAATACACAGAGAGGGAAATGCTTCAAGTGCTTTGCTTGCCATGAAAAGCTGAAGGGGCACGTATTTTATTATCATCATCATTATTATTATTATTATTATTATCATCATCATTATTATTATCATTGAGAAATCTCAATACAAGGCTCTATGTTACAGAGGCCATGTGCATCATTTTTGCATATTGTAAAGCCTACAAGCACAGTCTAACAATCATGTTTCGTGAAATTTTGATAAACCTACTCTCACTTTCTAGAAAGGAGTGTACATAGGAATGACAGATGAGGAATGTAAGGCACATACACTCTTTAATACCTTTGGAAATCTAAAAAAAACAATTGACATCCATGTGCCCAGTATATTTGCAGAAATCAACTGGTGTGACTGACATCTAACTACTTTGCCAATAAAAACTAAAATCAAATACATTATTTGTCTCAAAGGAAAAGTAAAACCTCAACTTTGCTCTATTTTATGCCAAACCTGCAGAATATGCCCGAAGTACAAGCCAAAGCGTAGGGAGAGAACATGAAATGCAGGAAATTTAGCAAATCCTGTAATTTAAGTGCAGTTTTCACACCTGTGTTGTTAGCAACACTTCAGAACAGTTTATGTTTATTTCAGACAATCATTTTGTTTAGTGTTTTCCTATACATAGCCACAGAGATTGTTCCAATTAGCTCAAATCTCTTAAAGGTCACAAGACAGAGAGGCATTATGTCCAAAACTCATCATCGATAAATAAAGAATCCGAATAATAAGCATATTTTGCTGTTTTGATTTATGAAACTTTTCCCTGTTCTTCAGAACCACTAATTAAAATAAAACATCATTGGTTAGATTATGACATATTCATAGAATATGATAAATAAATATATAATTTTCTTGTTTTACAATATAAACTTCAAGAAAAAGAAGTACACTATACCACTTTAAAACCATAAGCTACTAACGAAAGGTTGAACGAATAGTCACATTGTTATCTATTCCAAGCTTTCCTGAGCATATATGTACTCACCATTTTTCAGTGTACTGGGTTTTACACTTAATTAATAGTTCCTTCTGTTCTTCACAGCTCATTTCTATCCCTGGTATCTTGTCTAACAACGCTCTGCAGTGTTGCAACTTCGCACGGAAACCATTAACCTACAACAACATGTAATTTCAAACAATGCATTGGCAAATTAAAGCTTTGAAACTTTTGCTTTTAAAGCGTCAAAATTGAAATTCGGTACTGCACAGGCATATCAAACAAAAAATCGTAAAATTTCACTAATCTTGTGCCCCAAATCACATCAAAAAGGTACAATTTTAATTGCAACGATTTTCTTGGGACACTAGTTAGTACTTACACACTAGACTGAGTATTTTGACTTGATTATAATGAGACGATTCTCTCTCAAAACCGAAATGGAAAACATATTAATACCTTCTTTGTAAACTCCTGGGGATCGTTTGTCTTCTGCAGCGCCTGAATAGTTTCGAATATTATCGGGAGAAGATTAAACTCCTTCGCTACATCGATTTCTTCAGTTTCGCTGGCAGCCATGTTGATGGCAGCTGTCATTTCCAGTCCACTACACGAAGGTAGGTTTTTTATTGGTCCGCAGAAAAACAGGCTACCAAGCGCTGAAATCTTTTGCAACATGTACAGGCTAACCAAGTATTTCCACTGAAAGTCTCCGGTATTCGCTCTTCTTTATTCGCCCCTAAAAAAATATATTTTTGATAATTCCTCAAAGACCCCACAATCTTTCCACAAATATCAAAAACATGGCTTTGATTGAGAGTTGAAGGGCATTGGAAGTGTTCCAAGGGCAATTTTAAAATGGTGAAAAAGAAAATCATATATGTGAACGCCGTTTTTAAGAAATGAATGTGAAAGCGATTCTCACAGTAATGAACTCTACTTCACTACTGCTTAAGTAGTGTTCATTACTGCAAGGATCGCTTTCATATTCATTTGGTGAAAAGGAGTTTCAAAAGATCCTTTTGAAACAAAAGCAGGGTACCCTTGGAATTTTTTGAAAAAAAAAGCACCTTTTTATGCCTGATTCTAACTTTATTCATGAGTGTTCTCTAAGTCTACTTCTCTAAGTTTTGTTTCTTTTCTAAACTGGAAATAAGTGTATTTCAATTTTGTACAAAGAGGAACACTATTTGTCTAGAACAGGATCAACACAGATATGAACCTCCAGAAGTCACCAAATTTTCTCTATAAAAGTGACTTTAAAAAGCCCTAACAGATACTTGAAATATTATAATACTAGTATTTCCTAACTTTCCTGTTATTATTTGGCTTCATTACATAGCATCTTGCATGGACTTTCTTGGAAACAACGGAACGCCAATCTGACAGAGGAGCCTTTTGCTGCAATTTTAGTTAGCATTTGGCCAGGGAGAAATTCTTCTTGCCAGGTACACAGCATGCTGCCTAAATAGAAAGTTGCCACTGTTTAAGGTATTTTCAAGAAATACGTGAAATCAGGTGGATGTGCGTGGTTATGGTGGCTGGCAAAATAAAAAAAAAAAGAAAGAAATAAAGCATTGAAATCTTTGGAACTTGGCAAATCTCAATGAACTTGCCTGTGCGGAAATGATAGTGTACCTCTTACAAGGGCAGTCATTTTCTAAAATGGGAATGACAGTATGTGATGTAAGGATTGAAAATGTATTTTCAAACAGAGTAAAATATATCTGCTGCTTCTATCAGACAAGAGGGTTACCAGCTCAGAAATCCTCTGCAGGTGCTATGCTGTTTGGATGATTCATCATTGTTGAGTAAGGGTGATCTTCCATGTTTAGTACACTGTTTTTTTGCATGGTTTCCCATTCTCGTATGTTCTTTGACTCTGAGATGTGATTAACATGTAACTTCTCACTTCAAGATATAACTAATATGTAACTTCTCCCAATGTCCACACAAGTGGGTGGTGAGAATACTCAAAACTTATTATCTTGATCACAGCCATCGTGCTTGGTTAATAAGATATATGAATCGCCCCTTCTATTTAAAAAAATTACTAATTATAACCTGGCTTTATAATTTATATTCTACATTGTAGTGTTACTATTTTCTTATGTTTAATGATGCAGTTGTATATACGAGTTTTAAGTGGCTGTCTTTTTCTGGAAATGTTATTAATTTATGTTTAAGCTTTATTTGTACTCTATCACCACTACTGTACCTCTAATTCTAGCCCGCCTCGACTAGCTCCTGCTATTTGCAGGCATGAACGGTCTTCATGAAATTGAAAGTGTAAATTAGATCAATAATAATTAGTTTAATTAAATTAATTAGATTAATTTGTAATTTCTTATTAATCTTTCTTCTTATTAAGCTTCAATAAACTTCAAACTTCAAACTTCAAACTTCATGTATGATTAAGTTTCACCACATCACAACCCCCTGGCTCCAATGTTGTCATAATACATTTTTCATTGCAGACCAATCCTTAAATAAAACATTTGAAGTTAACTTTTAATCCGTGTTTGTGCCTACTTAGAGTAAATGTTTAGCTTGCTATCATTTCAAACATGTCCTCTTGAAGTAAAGGTTGCATAATTGGTTATGCTTCAAAGCAGTTACCTCTCTTGACAAACCAGGCCTTCGAGCTGAGCATGTGAAATCTTCGCTTTCTCTCTTGTATGATTTGTTTATCCGAAGTCACAATGCATGGAGATTAGATAGAACGCACTTTGTCCTTATAACTTAGACTGAAGATGCACTCAAAAATATTACTGGAAGAACCATTTTCACTTCGAATACTTTAATTTATGAAAATGCTGGATTACATAGACATGGCTGAAACACTAGAGCTGTTATTTGAGAAAATTTCAGATTACTTCCTCCCTAATCGGCTAAATAAAAAAATCCTGCGAAGACACCTCCCAAGTAAGTGACGAACACGAATATCTCGCACGTTACCATTTATAATCCTCTCATCAAAGATCAAACATTCCGAACAACAATAATGTCAGTCCTTTAATACAATGAAGTAAGTAAAATACAATATTCCATTATGTAGCTTTACCTCAATTCTCTCTCGATGCAACCCGAAAGAGCTTAAATGTAGAATAATTGAACTTATTTATTTCCAGCAAGATTTACAAGTACGTGATATTTCACAATTGAAAAGCTTCGATCAACCGTAGGGTAGGAACAAATTCACTCTAAACATAATCACTTGCGTTCGTTATATCAGAGAATACACTGAAAGAAATTGCTTGACCTCCTTAGGTGGCACATCCACCCATTACAACAATGAATCACGAAACAGCAAAACCACGGGTCGCCGCTATGCGTTTCCTGACACTCTTCCATTTTCCACTATTATTTGAAGAAGATTGCGGATCAAAATGTATTCGCTTTACCAAGATGAAGAGATCACTAGTGATCAGTTCCAAAAATGGCATAATCGCAGTGTTTAAAGCCATAAAATACCACGGGAAAAGCTGTAATGAGTAAGACTGAAAGAGAAACAAAAGGTCACATCGAGTGATATACCCAAACTGTCTATTGAACTTGCATCTCAATTGGACTTTAATGCGCGAGGCTTTGTACACACTACTGTTCTAAATCAAAGTACAAGAGCCCCGTTCTTTAAACGGGTTTTGGTTTCCAGGAACTCCCGTAACAAGCGGGTCATCTCGCTGAATTTTCTCCACGTAGGTTTTCAGTTCGTTAGCTGCCTCTGACACTTTGATGCGATTAACTTTCAGTTCTGTTCTAAGTTGATCCACGGTGATTCTCTGAATTCTGAGGGTCTCTGTTGTTGTGGCGTAGGACATTGCTGCAAGGATTAAGTACCAGAATTTGCTCGCCCGATAAATGTAACTTCTGATCCTCTTGGTCTTTCGCTTTCGAATTTTCCCTGAAACCTTCCGACTCGCACTAATCTTGTCACTGTGAAACAGAAGCCGCAAGTGAGAAGGGTGAGGTTATTTCCGAGCATGAGCAGTAAAGCAAACGACTGAAAACGCTTTGTTTTCGGTCACGTCCGGAGCTTGTCGACGATTCCGATCAAAATACTCGGACGTTGGATTTTAAAATTTGAGTCATGCGGTTCATTTGCTATTTTTATAATATTTTGACGGGAGTTCTTTAAAATATATCTATGCTAAAGGATTATCTTGAAAATCTTTGAAATTTCACTGAGCCACTGTAAGCTTTATTTCACCCCTTAAAATTCAATTTTCTACTTTGAAAAACATTGATACATGTAGTTATATGGACCATGATATGGACAATCTAATTGAACAATCTCAAAAATGAGAAAGTCACAACCAGTACAATCAACATGTAAGTCTGATGAAAGAAGCAGCAGCAGTCCAAGAAACTGAAGGATTTGCATTAGCAAGGTACGGTCTGTCAAGTGGTAGAAACCATATCCCTTCCCAGCCCTTTATATTTCTCATCTCTCCATTAAACCATTTACATCTTAACATCAGTATGCATATTCTCCATACCCTCTCTACACATTTCCTGAGGTGCTGACGAGGAGGATTTGTTTTACAGTTTAGAGCTTCCTTAGTTGGTGATCATTCCCTTTATTCTCGTGGCCTACATGTGTGACTCAGGGCTGATATTGTAAGGAGAAATTAGATGCTAGTCACTCTTAACAGTTCAAAGGTTTGAATCTGGGGACAAGTAATGTCTCAGATGCTATTTTAGTGTAGAAAGGTAATAAGAAAAAAAAGATATCGAATGTCTGATAGTTTTTTATTTCACATCAAATTTGTAAAGCAGACATGATAAGAAATTAAAGATAATAAAAGCAAAAAAATTACATTTGGATCTTCCAAGTTATGGTGTTAAATGGGGTTAACAATAAGCAAGTTAACTTCACCCTTTTTTTCAAGCTTATCTTGTGATCTAAGCTTCTAATGCAGTTAGCAAAAAAACAAAACAAAACAAAGCAAAGCAAAAGAAAGCTGTCACATAGTTTCATCTCAGAGGAGAGTCTTTATTAACCCAGTTGAGAACCAAATAGTGTCTACAATGCAACAATTTTGGTTTCAATCTCAATATAACGATATCAAACAAATAAGATATAACAATATTATACCATGACTTAATGTAATATTTTCTCCTTGAATGCTGTTACTTAAAGGGGTTATGCCACAGAAATAAATATATAAATCTGTTTATTTTCTTCTGGAAAGCTCTATCAGTTTTTGACACTGAAAAACATAGTTTTAAATGAATAGAGCTGAAAACATCATCTGAGCAAGATGGAAAAAAACACAAGAGTTGGTCTCGTGCCTCTTTTTTCTTAGTTTTAACCACTTTTTTTCCAAGTTATTTTGATCTTGTGGTAATAATATATCATAACCACTCACTACCTCACGATAAAACTAAACCTGCAAAGCATTGCCCCTTTAAAATAATCAACCTCATTTTGCACAGTTTTGTTCCAAATGGCCCATTTGGGCAAAAAAAGAGATGATTTAAAAAAAACTACAAAGCTACAGCACATGCCGTCAACATAAGTATATATTAATGTATTTCTGAGATACCTATTCGATCTACCTTAACAGAAAGTTGGCTTGAGATACATTTCAGTTTCCATAAAACATCGGTTGCACACAATGATTCCAATATTGATAAAGATATACTGGAGATCAGCCCGGATGGTTATCCTAGAAATAGAGTCAAATAATGTCAAAATGGCTGCACGTTGCTAGACAGATGTTCTTTGTTTACAAAGGGGTCATTTTGACCGCATAATTTCGTATCCCAGCTCGAAATACAGTTCATGTTGACGAGTTTTCCAACACGAAACTCAGATGAGAAGCAAAGCGTCCTCTATCACTAATCGTTGATTAAATAAATAAAAAGTAATGATTCCAAGAAGTAGCAATTAAAAAAAAAACCGATATTTAAGAAAGTCGAAGTCTCGGCAGATCTGCATGCAATGTAGAAGCAAACTACAGAAAGAGAAAGTGTCCATGCTTGCAGTGTCAAAAAACTTGAACTATTGCCGTAGCCTTTGCATCTTTCCAATCTCACATGCAATCCAACGAACTTTGAAAATAATCCAAGCCAACGACAGTCTCTTTGGGCTAAAATAAAAGGCAGGAAGACTTCTCCTTGTAGGGATTCACCGAGCTAGTCACTCCCGTAACCAGAGGATCGGACTGAAGATTTTGCTCCACATATTTAGTAAGTGCAGCTGCCGTGGTCGAAATCGGCGTTCGTTCCAAGCTTGCTTCTGCCCGTAACTGTTCTACGTACATTTTACTGACACTTGCTGGAGCAGCCATGATAATCTTACTTCAGACGGCGACAGATATCACCTGGATCAACTCTACGAATGATTCTGAATGCACAAGTTTGGCGAAACCACAAGGCCCTAGAAAGCGATAATAAATTAGTCATAACTTTGTAGCCACCCTTTTGGTACTCTTAGGGGTAGAGACAGTGATATCCCCAAAAGGCTTTTCGACTGTGTTCTTCCAAGCTAAAAAGGTTTTGTTTTAATTTTTAATTACAACATTATCAATAAAGACAGTTTAAAACTTCTATATCTCCCAGAAATTGTGCCAATTTACCTCGTGAACTTTTTTTCAAAGGAAAAAATAAAATAAAAATGATGATAATTAAAAAAAAAATTAAAGTAACTTGAACGTGTAATCTCGCACCAGTCGGTTCGCAGTATATTGGTCTGACTGGCAGTACTTTCACGTGCGCTCGTTATTACTCTCCCATTTGCGCTCACTGAACAACTTTAGTCACGGATTCATATTATTTTCCCCGATAATCATTCGATTATGTCTAAAAGACCAGGAAATGAAAATGGCGAAGAAGTTGTAACCAAGAAGAACAACCCTCAGTTAGGAGATCCACTGAATATGCTGAAATGGATCGACGAAAACAAAACTTCATTTCTCCCGCCAGTCTGCAACAAATTAATGTGAGTAGCCTTCCCAAGAACGCTGCCAATTTCTAGTGAATTGTTTCGATCCTAGAGTCTTGACGCATTTATCTCACTCACTCTTCTCCAAACACACGAAAATAACTTGAAAACTATTTGAAGGTCACTTGTTTTTTAACGTTCCTATTCCTTACTAGTTGATAAAACTTATAAGCTTGTATATATATTGCACGCTCTTTCAGGGCTGTCGCAAACTCATGATTAGTGCGGTTGAAAATCTAGTTTCCCTAAGAATAAGAATTTGAATATTTCGCAGCTCCCAACGTTTTTTATCAAAAAACATTCAGAATTCAGGCAAAGAATTTATTTTTTACAAATATGTTTAAAGTAAAGTAAGGCTGTAAAATTTATGTGGTAATAGTTATTCAAGGGGGCAATATCTTGCAACATCATAATTGGGAATGTCATTTCCTACATTCCATGCAGTTAAAAAGGTATGGCACCTTTTATGAATACAAGGGGCACAATATCATTGGAAAGTTTATCACTTGTCCTACTAATCAAGGAGCAATTAAGTTATTGTGAGTGTCATCAATAAATTAACACCTTCATTTTAATTATTGCAGAACGTAAGTTTTTTAAAAGCCACTGGTTTTTACACTGTAAATTAAGAGCCCACAGATTGTAGTTCTTTTAATGGTTGCCTGTTTGAAAGGAACGTTTCAATTGTTATTTTGATGTATCTAGATGGTAAATTATCGTAAAAATGTCCCTATTATACACAGAACAAGATGTATCATTTCTTATTGGTTGCTGACTAATCACATGGCCTTAACCAGTGAAGGGTGCAGGGACAGGCTGCAGTAGTAATGTTAGGCTTGTCTCGTATACCACAAGAGAGTAAAAACAATTTGGTTCAAATGGAAATGTTAATAATCTAGCTAGAAACCATCAAAGCATTTCAGGAAGTGTATAAGAAAATGAATATAATACAAGAGAGTAGGCTTGGTGAGAATGTACAACATAGAGCATGTGGTCAAATGATTTTGCCATGTGCTCATGTAAGTTATAATTTACAACTCAAAATTTTAACTACACTGCCAACATACAGTCATACATAAACTTTATTAATGTGTCTTGAAATATCTAGCCAATGGGGCTAAGAACCCCTCTACTAATTGGGGACACAATTAATAATCTATCAACTATTTTCTAATGAAGCTATTAAAAAAAGGCCTAATAATATAGTATAATTAAAAACCTATTAACTAACAACTAATGGGATAATTTATTTAAAAGATTAAATTGTTGGAGTGTTAAGGAAAATCGTGTGAAAGTCAACATTAACAAATTGGTGTCTTCATTTTTCTGTCTTTTGGGAGCAATTTTTTTCCTTTTTTTTTTTCTGCAATTTCCTCTTTTAGTATGAGAATTTTAACAACACAGGAAGTTGTAAAATTTTTACCTTATTACTTGCTGAGTTACAATACAATCTATTAGAAATCTTGCAGTGATTAAAATTAAAAGTCTTGGCAGACCTTTCTGCCTAAAAGAAAGGACACGAAAGTAAATTATTGAAAAAAATGCCAATCCCCCTTACCTATTTTCCTCAGGTTTCTTTATTGCACTGAAAATTGTAACTTTGGGGAAATTTTTTCTTTTTTGTGGGAGTTACTCTGTGCAGAAAATTGTTGTTGTTGTTGTTGTTTTTTTTTTTACAACCTTTTCACTCCCAAGATCTCATAAGTAATTTTCCTTACTGTCTGTAAAACAGTTCTCATGATGTTAGTTAGGAGAATGTGGTATTGGATCAAATGATAATCCCCTAAATGCAATTGAAATATTTCTTTAATGTCATTGCTTGTGCGCTTAATATTGTTTTGTTATTGTAAGGTGAAATTCTGTCTTGGTCACTCAAGAGAGCTTAATGGAAAAAGGAGAATCTGCAGGAAAGTGCTTGATAGGTTATAAAACCAATGAAAATCCTTGACATTTAAAAGTGAAACAGAAGTTTTGCTCTCCTTTTTCAACCTTAGGTATGGTGCAGGGCAGTTAAAGGTGATGTTTGTTGGTGGACCAAATGTCAGAAAAGATTATCATATTGACGAGGGAGAGGAGGTAAGGTTAGACAAACTAACAGTGAAAATATCATTTCCTGATATAATCTACACTGCTGAAAACGTACATGAAAGAAACAAATCAGACCTACATAATGCTATTAGCAAACTGTGCCAGAAAATATTTGGAAGTATAGTTCTCTCTATGAGCGTATTGGTAGCTATTTGATGTCCAGAAGGTTTTGTACCAGAATTTGTTAAGAAGTAACTCTCAGAGGCCTCAATTTTGGGTAAAATTGAAGGAGAGCTCCCCAAAATATCTGTCGGCCAACTGTCGGCTGACTGTTCGTTGACAGTTGGCTGACATAATGAAAACCAATTCAGAAATGATTAAATAGACTGTCATCTTGGTGAGTTTGAACTTTCACAATTACTTCAAAATGAATTTTGACAAACACTCAATAGAGGTAAATTTCAAGTGTGAGGCATTATTGGTCTTATCGATCTTCATTTATGTGAACTTGATGTGTAGTATCTGACTGAAACATTTGGTTCTGCTGAAATGGGAAGAGTTTAGTTACTTAGATTTAGCAATACATGTAAATTTTTTCAGACTCACAAAATTGCACAAACCCATGTTTTCATGGTGTTTCTGTTGTGTTTTCATTGTGTTTTCTGTGTTTCGTTCGCCAACAGTTGGCCGACAGATATTTTGGCGAGCTGTTCTTTAATTTTACCCAATTTTGATACAATATCCATAAAATTGGTTTTTAGAATAGGCAGTTTTTCTCAATTCACCCTTTAACTACCAAGATAACTCTCTCCTCAGTGCTACACATTTCCATGTAAATTGTTAACAAGATTCTAGGGTAGATAAAAACATCTACCTGATAAGTTTGAGTATTCTTGTTACCTGTTTGCTAGATACTTTATGGATGCAATAGGGAGAGGTTACCTGTTAAGCACTTCTGGGAGGTTAAGAGTTAATCCCTCAAGGGTAAATGTTTGAAAGAATAACATTTTTTAACAACTGATAGTTGCATCTGAAAAGTGATGTTTGTGGCAAATAAAGATTGATTGCAATCTGCTAGAGAGTGTTGTCCTAATGTAAAATCAAAGGTTCTTTAATACTTTAGAAGGGCATTTAGCTGAGCTAAAAAGGAGTATTTGTAAAGAGTTGTTCAATGTCTCGCTAGTTTTTCTACATGGTTAAAGGAGACATGAACCTGAGAATCATTGAGAAAGGAAAACCAAAGGATGTGATCATCAAAGAGGGAGAGGTATTTTATGCTCAGTTCAATCAGTTTTTAAGTGTTATTTTCCAGTTGATAGAATTTCATTAATTGAAATGAAATATAAGATAGTTTCTAACCATAACTAAGTGGTTCTGAATTTTCTTGGTTACTTTTAACTTTTCAATCTAGTTTCACAATCAAAATCTGAAAAAAGGAAAACAATGTTTAAACTTAAGCAGGGTTGTCAAAAAGAGATTTTGAGTAACTGGACTGAGATGCAAAGAAGGCTGTACTTAACCATGCTTCCACGCTAAGAATTGAGCCAGAAACTTTCAGAGTAGTCAGTTGATGGGTCCTTCAGAGGAGCTGATGGTGCAATGTGCCAGTTTTCAGTTTATTTTGACAACCATAAACTGGTGTGAAAAATTTCAAACAATGAAAATCATTTGAACCTCAAAACATTTTATCCTTAGATTTATTGCCAAAGTCAGTGGTTTAAAGAAACAACATCACAGCTGGTTCAACAATGTTTTTATTTTTCCAAGGTCTTTGTGCTTCCAAGCAGGATACAGCACTCTCCTCAACGGAAGGAAAACACTGTGGGATTGGTATAGTGCTAGATGTTTTACTTCTGTTTTTGTCTACTTTTCACTTCAGGCAACTGAATTTTTTATACAATCCATCCAATACAAATTATTACAATTCAAAATCTGTTGAAATGATAAATTTAGGTCAGAGTTAAAAAATATCAAATTACATCTCTCTGAGTTTGAATTTTCAGAACAAAGAAGGCTTAGTGATTTTGATAGATCAGATAATCTGCATTTTAGGTCATTGAAAGAGAGAGACTTCCTGAGGAAACAGATGGTCTAAGGTGTGTTATGATGGACTCATGTCCTGTGCAGCTGGTAAAGGCATGGGCATGCAAAACAACCTATTATGTATTGTTAATAGAACAAGAAAGTACAGTGAAGAAATAGAGAAAGATGTTTTTCGTCTTGTTATAAGCATGGGACTAAAAAAAAAAATCTGAGTCCCTGTGATGATTCAAACCTCAGACCTTTGGATTCCAGCCTCCAATGCTCTACCGCTGAGCCACTTCCTCTTACCTATTATGTAGCTTGGCAATTTGTGGGTTTTAAAGTTCTGTAAATTTTGCACATTTTCTTTGATTAGAAAAAGTATGTTTGGATTAGAGACAAAAGCCCTTTTAGTATATAGAATCCTAGAAGGTAATTTCCTTGCTTCCCAATTCTAGATCAGAAAGGATGATGTGGTACAAAGTAGCAGGTAGCTTGCTCATCTGTCTAACTTTGAAACCCATCATTTAATTAGTAAGTCATTACAGCTATCCATTCATGTTAGTAAGAGTTGTCTTCTTGATAACAATATCATGAATTTGTTAAAAGGTATTTTTGTGAGGATGGTGTAACACCTCTTTGGGAAAGATGGTTTCATTGTGAAGACCTTGGTACTCAGTTGGGCCCAATCATCAAGTCGTAAGTAATAAATCTAATACAATTTATTCTATTGGTGTTGTTATGAAAGTGGCGTTTGGTATTGTTATGAAAGTGGAGTTGACTGTAGAATTATACCTAAGTTGCTTTCAATTGAATTTCAGATACTTTTCTTCAGAAGAATACAAAACAGGAGTCCCAACCTCTGGTCTGTAGAGATGTTTTTAAGAGTCAGAATAGCTAAATATCCTTCAATTTTCGGCTGTCTGCACTGTTATTGTATTGTATTGTATTGTTACTGTCTGCACTGTTATTGTATTGTTATTGTTATTGTGATTATCTTTTGGGATTTAAACATGTTTAAAGCACTTTCTTTTAGAGCATGTTTGCTAATCTAGAGGGCTCAGCGTAAGATCATGGACTACCTGCACTCCAAACTAGAGTTTGTTGTAGGCTTTAGATTTTGATGTGGTTACAGTTTATGAAGTTTATTCAGTGGCTGAGTGTTAAGGGTTCTGCAGTTGTCATCCGTTGATTTTCCTCCAGGGGCCCCCCCCACCACCTGGTAATCGCAAAATTTTTCTTGGCTTAGCTCAACTCTACTCAACCAAGGTGCAAAAATTGCTATCAACTGATTGCCAAATTGAAAATGTTGTTGTTGTCAACCAGAATTTCAAGGCAGCTTTAAGGGCAGTCAAGTCTTCATTCTTGTCAATATTCTTTGTGTAAACCAGCATTCAAGAAATGAAACCGTCATAACTTTCTTCACAGCACTTTTGTACATTCAACTGGTGATCGTCTATGGGAACGATTGATTTTATGCAGAGAAAGGTCTTGAAAACTAGATACTTTTTGTAATTTCTATGAGAGACAAGAATTTTATGAATCAGACCTTTTGGCAACTTAATTGTTCCCTTTAGAGATCATAACAAAACTATGTAAATGCTATGCGCCCCTTGAGCGAGAAAGTTAATATTAGAGCCTGCCATCTGGTTTTCCTCATACCATCTTTATGGTAGCAGTATGTTACATTTGTGCACTGGAAAATGCCCTTGGGGGAAGTGTTCAATTAACAAGTACAAGATTAGAAGTTAATGGTAGTTTAGAGACTAATTGTTTACAATAATTTTTCCTTTTTTTGTTTTGATTGAACAGAAAATGTTGACAAGGATCCACCTGTCAAAGTTGACCTTGAAACAGAAGTCAGTGAACCCTTTTCATTGAAAGAGGTACACATCTTTATTTTATTATCACTCTGAACATGGACTCAGAGAAAGATTTTAAACAATTGTGACAAGTATGGGAAAAAGCAAGCTGAGGTCAAATACAAATTTAAAGCACAGACCTTACAACCCAGTTCTATCAACCAGGTACCATCAACAGTTTTCTAGTACCCACTTCCATCAACCAGGTACCATCATCAGTTTTCTAGTACCCAGTTCCATCAACCAGGTACCATCATCAGTTTTCTAGTACCCAGTTCCATCAACCAGGTACCATCATCAGTTTTCTAGTACCCAATCCTACTCCTTAACAGAGAGATGCTGTGAATGCCTTGCCTTTGAGTACACTACAATGACCTGGCCAAGGCAAAAACACTGACATTCTGATTTGGGGTTTTGTGGGTTAACCTTTAACTCTCAAGATTCCTGATAGTCAATTCTCCCCTCTAGCTGTTACACAATTCCTTGTCAATTAGTTACAAGAATTAGGTGTTAGATCAAGGCAACAACTTCGGTAAAAGTGAACAATTAAGCTCCCATGTTTGGATGTCGGTAACCTGTCGGCCAACTGTCGGCTGACATGATATCAACACATTACCAACAGTCTGCCGACAGTATTAACCAGACCTTACATACCAATTTTTGTATTTACCTACTTCCTAACTTGTATTGTTTCCCTAAAATAAGCTTGTTTGCCAACAGTTGGCTGACAGTCAGCCCAGAGACAGCCGTCTGTCGGCCAAGTGTTGGCCAACAGACAGACAACAGTGTCTTTTGAGAACTGCTCTTCACTTTTACCTCAACTTCTACCTGATAAGTTTGGATATTCTGAATACCTGTGTGCTGAATAATGTGTGGATGTTAAGGGGGAAATTCCATCTTAATCACTTTTGGGAGTTCTGTGGGTTAACTCATAACACAGCATCCTCCATCACAGTGAGTGATTTGCTTTTATCTTCTAGTGGATTGTTGAACATAAAAGTGACATTGAATGTGGAACAAAGGAACTGTTTGGTAAAGGAGAATTCAAGGTAGGTGGTAGATTTGCACCTATTTTTATTTTAGCCATTTTTTTTTAACTTGATCCCTTCACTTTAACCCCCCCTAAGAATGACTACCGTCNCCAGTTCCATCAACCAGGTACCATCATCAGTTTTCTAGTACCCAGTTCCATCAACCAGGTACCATCATCAGTTTTCTAGTACCCAGTTCCATCAACCAGGTACCATCATCAGTTTTCTAGTACCCAGTTCCATCAACCAGGTACCATCATCAGTTTTCTAGTACCCAGTTCCATCAACCAGGTACCATCATCAGTTTTCTAGTACCCAGTTCCATCAACCAGGTACCATCATCAGTTTTCTAGTACCCAGTTCCATCAACCAGGTACCATCATCAGTTTTCTAGTACCCAGTTCCATCAACCAGGTACCATCATCAGTTTTCTAGTACCCAGTTCCATCAACCAGGTACCATCATCAGTTTTCTAGTACCCAGTTCCATCAACCAGGTACCATCATCAGTTTTCTAGTACCCAGTTCCATCAACCAGGTACCATCATCAGTTTTCTAGTACCCAGTTCCATCAACCAGGTACCATCATCAGTTTTCTAGTACCCAGTTCCATCAACCAGGTACCATCATCAGTTTTCTAGTACCCAGTTCCATCAACCAGGTACCATCATCAGTTTTCTAGTACCCAGTTCCATCAACCAGGTACCATCATCAGTTTTCTAGTACCCAGTTCCATCAACCAGGTACCATCATCAGTTTTCTAGTACCCAGTTCCATCAACCAGGTACCATCATCAGTTTTCTAGTACCCAGTTCCATCAACCAGGTACCATCATCATTGTTCTAGTACCCAATCCTACTCCTTAACAGAGAGATGCTGTGAATGCCTTGCCTTTGAGTACACTACAATGACCTGGCCAAGGCAAAAACACTGACATTCTGATTTGGGGTTTTGTGGGTTAACCTTTAACTCTCAAGATTCCTGATAGTCAATTCTCCCCTCTAGCTGTTACACAATTCCTTGTCAATTAGTTACAAGAATTAGGTGTTAGATCAAGGCAACAACTTCGGTAAAAGTGAACAATTAAGCTCCCATGTTTGGATGTCGGTAACCTGTCGGCCAACTGTCGGCTGACATGATATCAACACATTACCAACAGTCTGCCGACAGTATTAACCAGACCTTACATACCAATTTTTGTATTTACCTACTTCCTAACTTGTATTATTTCCCTAAAATAAGCTTGTTTGCCAACAGTTGGCTGACAGTCAGCCCAGAGACAGCCGTCTGTCGGCCAAGTGTTGGCCAACAGACAGACAACAGTGTCTTTTGAGAACTGCTCTTCACTTTTACCTCAACTTCTACCTGATAAGTTTGGATATTCTGAATACCTGTGTGCTGAATAATGTGTGGATGTTAAGGGGGAAATTCCATCTTAATCACTTTTGGGAGTTCTGTGGGTTAACTCATAACACAGCATCCTCCATCACAGTGAGTGATTTGCTTTTATCTTCTAGTGGATTGTTGAACATAAAAGGGACATTGAATGTGGAACAAAGGAACTGTTTGGTAAAGGAGAATTCAAGGTATGTGGTAGATTTGCACCTATTTTTATTTTAGCCATTTTTTTTTAACTTGATCCCTTCACTTTAACCCCCCCTAAGAATGACTACCATCCAATTTCTCCCTACAATTTCCCCCTGAATCACATATCAAGGTCGCAAGAATATAGGAATTGATCACTGGCTAAAGAGGGTTTTGATTGTGAAACAAATTTGTCAGACAGGTACAGTGTATTGTTGTAGGGGTTACAAAGCTAGGCACGGTAGCCAAAGGCAGGGGTTTTAAAAACTGTTGTACTGGTAGCTCGAGGCGGTTTTGGGAGTAGTAAAGTCATTGTTTCTTTTAGAGGTGTTGTCTCTCGTTCTTTACAAATTTTCCTTGTCAGCACCATTCCTATAAAGAATTGTATGATTCTTTACTGTTTTCATTATCATAGCCAAGATGAATTAGTAATCTTGATTTAGTATGATTTTATTTGCCTGTAGATAAATGTTCATGGTGAAGGAGAACAAACTGGCGAATGGCAAGGGGAAACATGGCTTTATCAATTGGTTAGTGTAGACGAAATGTTACAGATTGCTTTGGGTGTGATTTGAATGTAATTTGATGAGGACTAATTACAGTTGAACCTCTATTATCCTTGATTTTTTTTCCAGGAGGGAGATGCAACTGTCACGGTAAATGGTGAAACAAAAGTGATTTCCAAAGATGACGTCCTTCTCATTTCAGCGGGTGCTAAGTGAGTAACATTACTTCTTTTTTTTTCCTTTTATTTCTTATGTATCTTCCTAGTTAATTTATATTTCTGATTTACCGTTAATTGCATTTTGCCTTGATACTCTTCTCCTGGAAATTTTGTATCAATTCAGTGAATAATTTTTTTTTCTCATTTTGATTTGTAGGTACACTGTGAAAAGATCCAAAGGCTCCATTGGTCTGAGTGTTATTATGGACCCAATGGCAAACAAGTGAAACATGTCTCACCGTAGGATAGAAGAAGTCAAAAGAATGTCTTAACTCTTAACGATCAAACATTTGTATACAAGTCCCCCATACAGTTCTCTTTTCATTTCCTCTGGTTCTTACCAGGATAATTTGTTTAAAAGTCAAAAGCTTTTTTAAGTTGGGATAATTTCCATTATTTTCATGACCATATTGTTTGATTTGGAGGTGAAACCATTTAGAGAAATTAGATACTTTTCATTCTTTGCGCTTAAAAGGTTAAAGATGCTTCACCAATGGGCCATTTTACAGTTGTGTACTTAGTTGCTAAGTCTTTGATTGGTGTGAGGCTGAAGATGACCTTGTTGTGATAGAGACCTGTATCTAGTTAGCATAATAAAAAGTAATTTACATTTGTAAATCAGCAATGTCTATCATGACAAGGTCACCCTTAGCCTCACTCCTATTTAAAGGCTTGGCAACCTTAAAACTCAGTATGACTCTTTCACTCTCAAGAGTGAGTCATCCTTTTAAAATTCTCCTTACAATGTCAACAGACAGGTAATGAGAATTAGAACAAAACAACTAGGGGAGATATATATTTTTTTTATTTAAAACGAAACTCTCAGTACCTCAGTACTTCACATTGAAGAATTGTATGGCGTTAGTAAGCATAATTTGATATTCCAAGGGTGAGGGGTACTGTTCAAAATGTTATGTAATTAGTATTTAAATACAAGTGAAACCTTCTATTTTTCACAAAGCACTCCAGTTTTTTTCATCATCGTAATTCAGTGAAACATGGGCGGTCCCTGGAAAAAACTTTTGAAGGGTTTTTATATCTAAGTAAAACGCATTTTTGTCGTGAAGAGGCTTACCGTTTACCCGGATCTTGTATAGGGTACCAAGTTTTGAAGAACTTTTTTAAATTTGATTTGTAGTTCACTACCGTAACAGAAAATAAAAGTTGGTAAAACTACAGAATACAAGGCCACTTATTTACATCTCATTGAATCACAATACATCGTTTTGTTTTCTGCCTCGTTCTTCAAAGCATGCCGATAAGGTGGACTTCAATGGCCTTGTGTTGTGAAAGGAGAATCCGCATAAATAAAACTTGTCAAACGATTTTGTTGAAACCCATTTGAATTTTCCCTGCCAATCTCTGTTTCGAGAACTACATTAAAAAGATAGGTCACTGTGCTTGCTTAAGAGATGTGATGGCAGGCCAACCTTACCCAGTCACGCGCGTTGTTTTATCGGTTCACAATACAATTAGCATTTAACGAGCGCGCGTTGGATATAAGATGATAGATAGCCAATGAGGCACGTAGCGCCGAGTTGGATATAATCATCTCATATCCGACAAGCGCGAGTGGGATAATTGTTTTATTAAAAACGCCCCTAAGATATTGAACAAATCTTACCAAATCTTAAATTTTTTAGATCACTTTTAATTTTAAGCTGACGCGTACGCTTACCGTATTTGTAGATTATGGTATATTGGCTCATGTACCATAATGATTAAGCCAATAAAAAGTCTTGAATTGTATTATCCAATGATCCAGTTTTTAAGAATATGCAATATCTGGAAGCAAGGGCTTTCGAAGCAACACTTCGAAAAAAAACCTGATAGGGTTAAAGTCTCGGTACTGAAAACGTTCCTCGACTCGTTCCTTTGAACGTCATAACTACCATCCTCAATTTCCCCGGCTTCTTACACGCTTTAATGGCTATCTTCTTTTCCTTTCGATCAATTTTTTTCTATCATTTTTACTTAAACAGAGTAATGAGTACAGCAAGAATATGCAGTCAAAAATAGGTCACCATGCTCGTTCATGAGCAAAAGTCCTTGTTGCCTGTTTACCTCGTCCATTGATTGTAAAAAAAGAATAAACAAACAATTCGCCATGTTCTCGGAATGTGGATTTACTTATTCACCAATAGTTTTGGATTATTCACAACTTCTCTAAAGTGATTTGTGCACGTCTATTTTTGGCCGGCGTGTATGATCGACCTAACGCGTTTGCGTGCAAGAAAAGACGCCATGTCAAAATTTCTAATTACGCCCAAATCCTTCACTTATCTCCTAACTTTACGTGCGGTGATGGATACGCCTGAACAAGCAAATTATGTAATTATTTGGCCACCTGGCATGTTTGACTAATTAAGGATATCTCGGGCTGTTTACCCTTTCTCATTATCTCACAATGCTGAGACAGTTGTAACTGTAGTTTGCGCAAAGAATAAATGAAGTGTATTGCTGCTGTTAGTGAGATACTGATAATTTAATTACTTTAAATACGAAGGATCGTTAAGGTTGGTCATTCGTGACCCATGAATCATCAGTCATGCTTGGCTGGATTTAAAATCTTTGAATTCACCTAAAGAGTTCCGTACGCCACAAACACCTCCAGAAGTAATGGTTATAGCAACGCCGAAGAATCATTCACGTTGTATAAAAAAATGGCCTGGTAACAAACGAAAGATCAAGGTCATATCGAAGTTTTGACACAGAGCTAGGTGTCATGTCGATAGGTGGTTCTCGAAAAAGATAACTTTGTAAAAGCTTTGTTTTAAGGTCAAAAAAATCTCTAGACCATGTAAAAAGATTCAAAGTTCATTCCGTTCTGCGTGCCCTTCAATTTTACAACTCGAGACTGTTTTGACCCGGGACGATCTGACTCCCGGGTCAAACAAATTGACTTGCTTCGAGGAGCGGATGGAACGAAACGAATTGGAACGAATAGATCGTGGAAGGAAACGAATTGGAACGAACGGATCGTGGAATGAGGTGATCGGAAAGCGCGAATATCAGAGAGATTTTGGGTGGATCTCGTAGAAAGTCTATATTGGCTCTGGTTTAATTGCTGAACAAGCTTTTTTTCCATGCCAAAAAACGATAGACCGTGTTTCAATTCAAAGTTTCAACATCATGAACATTCCACTTCGTATCACTTAACTCCACTGAAAGATCACCCTTTAAAGATTAATTAACCAGGCTCAACAAAGACTTTTGATCTGGTTATCAAGGTGAATAGCGTCACAAAACATTGCATCTCTCTAATTGAATATCTCCGAGGGTAGGGAGGAATTTAATGAACACCAAAATAATTCGAGAATTCTCTACTAAGAGCGTGCACAGGGAAAGGAAAGTCACTCACCTTGAGTACTTCGAAGAGGAAGCATCTCCAATTCTTAAGCCGGCCTGTCTAAAGGTAAGTTCTCCACTAGGCGTTCGTGACTTTAGAGGCTTTTAATAGCGCGCCTCATATCGATTCTCTCGTAATTTTGTTCACTTGCAAGTTGTTTACGCAGTTACTTTGCAGGATGAGTTTTCCTTTCCCAAGTTCACCGTTTAATATCCTGCCCCCAAAATAAAGAACATCGCATATATTCTCTTTGCCACTACCCATCCAATGCTCATAGTGATGGTTCAGAGAATTTGGTTCACTGATATCGTAGCAGTCTTCTTGTAGATATTTTTTTCGTTGTTTTCAGCACTTATTGGGTCATTTGAGTACTGATTTTGTGAGGTCAAACTGATCATTCTTTTCCATTCTTAGGAGTCAAAGGGTGGAACGAAAAGATCATTGCTAAGTGAGTAAAGCAAGATTGAATTCTATTCGAGAGGTCTAAAAGAAATGAGGGCGTGGAAATTCAATCATTTAAAGTGGTCTCACGCGACTTTAGGGAGCTTTAGAAACGACGACGGCGACGGCAACGAAAACTCGTGTCGAATTCTAACTCTTCGATTTTGTAACTCTTTTGAGGTTATTCCGATGTGTTTCACTCAGAAAATGCTGGCGAACTATTCAGGGACTATGTCACTACGAACGGCGTTAAAGTAAGGAGAAATAAAGAAAAATTAACCGTCATGCGCTCACGTTCTCGAGAAAACCTAAAATTTGGTAATTTCACGTTGTTTTTTTTGCCGAGAACGGCAGAGAAATATACCAAAATGTTAAACGCACGTGCAAGTCGATTTTTTTTGCTCATTAAGCCCATTGTTTTCTGCCGTTCTCGGTGCCGTTGCCATGCCGCTTTCGTTGCTAAAGCTCCCTTATTAGCGCAAGGGCGAGTCTCACACTCGCGTCAAGCACGTGTCAAACGCATGCTCTTCTTCTTCACCCCCGCTTCACGCTCGCTTCACGCTCACCTGAATATGCAAACTCTAAATGCGATCCAATTGTCCAATAACGCGTTTTTCCTTAAAAGATATAAGTCAGGTTCTTCATCGTTTTAACCCAGCCATGAAAGATTTACAAGAGCGTTCTTTTTACTATTTTATTCTTATATTTGAATAGCATGCACACGAAAGTTGTTTTTAAGAGGCTCTGGTTTTGCCAGGGTAATCCTCTATGCCTAAAAAAGTAACACTGCTTGCTGAGAAATCATTGAGCTTTCGTTTGACACTACATTTATGGATCAGACACACAATACCAAATTTAATAACATCAATCTGTCAAAGAGCTGGTCTTTAACGAGCCTATTTTGAGGTTATTTGAAAATATCTATATGAGTGCATAAAAAATTACCAGGAGAGATTCCCAGCTTTTTAGCGTATTCGGCCTTTGGCAGTGCGGCGGAACGTAGAGGTCTTTAGGGGAATTTAATTACATTAGGCAAGATACGATGCGGAATTCTCTGCCATTTTAACGGAGTCACGTAAAAAAAAACCTACTTAAAATGTTGCTATAAAAATCTCAAGAGGCATAGTTGTTTTTAACTCGTTTGGCAGAGAAGCCCGATCCTTTCAAAGCTCAACAAAATGTAGTGCGTCTTCCTCATTCAGTTCGTGGGAATTTCCACCATGCCGTAAATGGCTTAAGACACAATGACGGTTCAAAGACATCAATCACGACTCTTGAGCACAGTGGAGGCACTCATGATATCTCGAAAGGAAGCCGTTTCAAGTTTTGTTGCAAACAACAAGTTCAAGAGCGATAAGCTTTAAGTGACCACTAGTGAACTTTTTTTTTCTTTTTTGTCTTTTTTTTTTTGTTTACAGGACCTTGAAGAATGGCTAAAATTGGATTGATTATTGTTCCTTTACTCTTGTTGTCCATCGCGAGTCTTGGTAAGATTTCCCAAAATGCAAATCTTGAACATTTTAGAGTGTGGTAAACAGGGAGCAGGAGCCAGGAGGAGTGTTTGGGATAAGAAGGGAAAAAGAATGTGACCGAAGCCACATCATTACGAGAGATATACCCCAACGCTAGCACTATTACTGAAAACCCAAATCCCCGATGTTCTTGTCGCTAACAAATTCATTTTCTTAATTATTATTTCAGTGCAGTGCAGATCTGCAAAAATCTGTGACTCGGAGTCAGAAGTGCAGCACCTTGCCACAACCGGAAGACCTTTGGGAGCCGCATGGTCAGAAACAGTGCAAATAACAACGGGTTATCCCAATGACCCGGGCAGGAAAACTCAATGTAGATATCGATGCAGACGATCTTGCATAAGTTCGTTCAAATGGAAAGGCTGCATAGCCTTCGCATCAAAAGTTACAGCTGGTTACAGTTCAAGTTGCCATTGCTGGGGATACAAATCACTGCCCTCGTTCGGACCTGACGTCTCAATTGGAAGCGCCACTTACTTAGACGGGTGGTGCGTGGCGGAATTTTTCAGCAGTGAGATGACGCTGTGAGTGCGTAGACCCCAGTCTTCGCTGTCCCGTAGATGTCGGCAAGGCTTCTCCGCTGCCAGCTTAATATTCTAGTGTATTGATTTAGGCATAACAAGTGATTCGTGTAATAAATTTGTCGTGATAATTGAGTTTGGAATTGATTAGATTTGCCTTTGTTCTGCATCACAGTTTAACTATTAAGAGCGTGTCCACGAGAAAACCGGGCAGGGGCGATAAAGCTCAAATCGCCCATTTGGCTCAAACTTGGCACAAATGCTAAATATCATGAAGTAACAAACGTGTGAAAATAATAACTTAAGAAAACTCGAACTTTACAAGAAATCTCCCAGAGAGTGTCGTTTAAACATGAACGAGGAGAGAATCTTTGAATAGCACAAGTTGAGCCCATTTTGAAAACTTTTTTCGCAGCCATATTTGGATTATGCTCGAGTAAACGCAGCAGTTGATGATGAACATCTATTCAATGGCGCTTGTA